ATGTACGCGCACTCCCCAAATATCGGAGGTACTATGTTTGAATTTCCCTTACACGGAAGGCGCATATGTCCGCATACGCCCATAGGTCTGCATAAGCTTGCATTGCTTGCAAAGTTAAAACATAAAGCATTCTTTTGGACCGCTCTTCTATGGATTGGCGTTCTCCCCTGTTGTTATTTTGACGACTCTCCTTCGTACCCGTTACAACCCCAACATGAAGGGACCCCTTAAATTTTCGTGTTGGGTCTCATCTGTGCTCGTCGTGCTTCATCACCGCCTAGCGTCACTACTTCAGCATCAATTCAGCACTATGAGCACTAAATATAGCGACAGCAACTTTCCGTGCTGCGTTGGGCTCAAGTGTATGCCTTAATGCACTCGCGTAGGAACAGCTGCTGTGGAGATATCGCGAGGGAAAGCCAAACAGCTGCGGCAGGATCCATATGAATATGCATCACTTTTGTAGCGGCGTTTAATTGCAGAAATCAATGAGGACAAGCGCTAGAGCCACAGTAACTGCTGCTTCACCTTGAGGTGCAGCCCGCTTGTGGGGAATCAGAGATGACCAAATTGGGCTGCTGACCCAGGAGGTCCTTTGGCGTGCGGATGAATCCAACTTCATGAACCTCGTGTGGCGTAAACACCACCGGTCGCCTGTTACGCGCCGTCCTCGCCTACTAGTGCTGCTGAGGGCATTGCTACTGTTGCTTCATTTGCCGCAATTTTTTTGTTCTGTTTGTCTGTTTGCTGCACATGCGAGCAGATTTGGCTGCAGATATATGGGGTGCTATCAGTTTGCTGCAGGAGGAGCAGTAGCACCGCCAACAACCACTGTTAAATCAGCATCGCGCGCAACTGAGGCAGCTGGAAAACATGTTCCAGATCATAGGCCGCATTTCGCTGCTGCTATACGCAGAAGTACAAGCAGAAGTAGTAGCAGGTGCATCAGCAAAAATAGCAACAGCAGCAGCCGCGGCAACAGCGCCATGTGGCTTCCGAGCTGCTCTGGTGTTAGAGCATAGGCGACGAGAAAGAGGCCGCCCCTTTACAAAACTCCTATTGCTGCAAAGCACTACAGGGCGCTCGTTTCGTTCTCGTGTTTGCTTGAGCACTCGCCAACCTCAGTGTAAGCTTTGCATGAGCCAGGCGCCACTGCACACGCCGTTTGCCTTGGCTGCAGATTGCCCTCCGTGTAGCATTAGATAATTCACGCACGCATGCTCTGGAGCAGGCTGCTGTTGCGTCCAGGCGAACCCTACCCAATTGATTTATAGAAGGTGCAAAAGGGAAACTGTTTACTTCACAGAAACGGCCGCCCACGACAAGTGTGTGNATTGATTTATAGAAGGTGCAAAAGGGAAACTGTTTACTTCACAGAAACGGCCGCCCACGACAAGTGTGTGGTTATACAGGCTAAGCAACCACGTCAAGCAGTTTCAAGGAGTCGGATCATGACATTCTTGAGGCGGCCAATAATGTCTCGTCGTTGTGCCTTTTCACCAAGCACTTCTGCGCGCAAACGGTGATTCCACAACTCCTGGAAACCTGGTAGACGCAGTCAACGAACATCTCCATGGCAAGCTTTACTTTCTCGCGTGCCCGGCACCAGGTCATGCAGTCGAACTGATCACGATAGCCCAGCAAGCACTTAAAATGGCGCAGTACAATGCTGAGTGCTCGCCAACAGTTATACGCCCTATTCTGAAATATAAGAGAAGGCAACAAAGTGACGCAGGAAGGCGAAGGAACAGAGTTTATGTCAATGGATATCCTTAAGTGAGACGGATGTGCGACCGCTTCTCCTGGAGTGTCTTCAATTACCAGGTTCCCCATACTGCGTAACCGTGTCCTCTGCTGCTTGTAGGCTCCGCTTGTGTGTGCGCGCCCAGCTGGATGCGACTAATCCTTTAGTGCAGTGCCTGCTGTTTGGAGGGCGGAGCGTATACTGCCAAACTGCAGCTGAGTGGTTTGCGAACTCCGCTGCACGCTGCCGTATGGGCAGGGCACTGAATGGATCTTCCTTTCTCCGTGGGGCCCCTCATCTGGGAAGAGACCGAATGGCTGAAGAACTGCTCTCTCAATANGATCTTCCTTTCTCCGTGGGGCCCCTCATCTGGGAAGAGACCGAATGGCTGAAGAACTGCTCTCTCAATACAAAGTGCCTGCCCTTGTCTGCATACATATCCCCGTTCTCACCGCCTTCGGGAAAGAAACAGTTTGCCAGTGGACCATCTTAGCTGTCCCGAAGGAGGCCTCAAAGACGTAGCGAGCTGCCGTTGTCGTCGTCTATCGTAAGTGAGTCCCTGTGCAGAAACATCGTCTACCCTTGTGCGTGGATACTAGACATACTCATCTGGCCTCTTGCTGAGTTGCAAGGGACGAAACTCTTCCGCTGTCATAGAACTATCACCTCCGAACACGATGCAAGCACCCAAAACTAATGCCCAAAGGAGTTTTGCCAAGCATACTCAAGAAAGGGAACTGTTCGGGGTTCAGCGATATGCAAGATGTGGCATAACGCGACAGCCGCCTCTCTTCTGTCCGGGAACGGTCTGCAGAAGGATGCTTGCTGACTATAAGTGGCACTTCTCATGGGCTGTGTGATCCTCCTGTGCAGTTTGGCTTTTGGGGCTGTGTTTCTGCTGCT